ATTCCTCCGTAGCCTGATCAACAGTTATCAGCCATGACCTCATTGACAAGACGATGAGAAATGGAAAAGACGTACTGCCGCACAAGCTCAGAGTTCGCGTAGACCCAATCATCGAACATGTTATTTGCTCTGGCACTCCAAATCCCAGGATGGTTCTGGACTTCATTGTACCACCCATGGTGTGAAGGACTTGTTCTCAGGTTTCTCGCAAGACAATAAGCATCCAAAGGGGCGTCCGGACTCATGGCATTGCATGGGGTACCCCCGCGGCGCTCAGCGTCCCATATCAACCATCGTGCCTCTCTCAGTATTTCGTTAAGCATTTCCATTGTCGGTGGTTGGGAATGATCAGGACGGCCACGGTGGTGCCTCCTCGTTCGGACATATTCGTCGAGCGCGCAAGCGAGTTGGCACTCGACTTTGCTGAAGATGCTGCCTGTTTCGTTCCGGAAATGGGTGCGATTGTTCATAGTGAGTGAGATGCTATTCCAAAAGGTAGTCTGGCTGTGGCGTCCACTTTTGTAATCTTGTACCAGACAGAAGGTTTGTTGACAAAGTTTGAGCGTGAGGATAATGTCAGGTGGAAGAACTAAATGGAGAGCAGGTTCTGACAGTATATGTACCAGAGCTTTCCATGTGAAGCATCAGGCACCAAGTCTTCCAGCAAAATAACCAAACCTTCCGAGGGCATATGGGCCTTGCTGCGGGCGTGACAAAACACCCTACGCTGGGTTCGGAGTTCCATATTTCAACCTGTAAGGCGGACTCACAAATGGGTCGATCCGAAACTTACCACTTCGTAAATGACCCAGCGGAGTTGAAGCCTCACGGTATCGTAAAATAAGGCAGCAGCGTGATGTTCCGGAGTTTGCAGCAATATGATTGCATGTTTCTGATATCAATCAGCTTGTCGTAATTTGGCTGGTTGGGCAGACATACGAGAATCACCAAACCTCGGGACGGGGACTTTCACATCTTCCTTCCGAGCCGGGCCCAAGAAAGGAAAATCTAATAACATCCGCTTACCATTCCAAGACCATTGCATTCTCAGGCGGCCTATCAATACTGTGCATTCTACATGGAGAAGAAGGCGAGAAGATCAAACAGGGTTGGGAAGGCAACCAGTATTCTACCACTTTTCCGGAGAAGAAGGTGGAGGGATCAAAGCATATGAAAAGACAACAATGTGTAAAGGGGTGCAAGACCGAGAACTGGTCCTCGCCGTTGACTTCATGAAACCCTACTAGGTGTTCATCTCTGCGGGCAAATTACTCCGATCGTTTCCAGCATCAGCTTTCTGTCGAATATCAGTATTAGTCATGTCGGAACTCACAGCATACTCACAATACATTCTCGCGTGGAAGTAGGCAAATTGAAGGATTCGAAAGATCCGAAGCCTGGAGTTGAATTTCGTGACTGCCCGGCGCAAACCTTTTTCGTTAATTTGCCTAATCGGAGGTGTGTACGAGCACCAGGTGCGTAAATGTTTCTGGAGTAATTGACCGGTATATCATAGGGACAGGAGGCTATCGACTCCCACTGCAGCTGGGCTCAGATTCTCGGGTTCCCGGACGCATGTGCTGTAGCGAAACTAGGGCATCCTTATCATTCGAAGCATGCCTGGGGATATCTTACGGATATCTGCCGTAAGCTCCCAGTATTGCAAGGTCTCTAATGTGATCTAATGTCTTCCAATTCCTCAGTCTCACACAACACCAGAGACTAGACTCAACGGACTTTGGCTTTGAAGTTCACGTACCCTCCATCCTCCATACGCTACATGCCTTCCTTGATATCACGAGGCGAATTCAAGCCTAGTAAGGTCTCCTTCACGCGAAAACGTAAGGTAACCACCTGAAATCTCGATGACCATCATCAACTTCTCCCTCCTGCCGCGGTACCGTAGAAGCTCCGTCGGAGTTGCAGAGGAATTAATCTGCCATATTCGTCACCAGTCTTCTCTACACATTAAAGACATGAAAGCATACCGCATGGCTCAACCATACGAGACACAACAATATCGCCTCCCTCGTCCACCGCTGCCTCGAATGGTAGCGTTCCGTGCTCCGTAACAGCTCAGCCGAAAAGAGATCTGCGAACTTTCGGGATCAATCCGCTGCATGAACGTGGCTGGCTGCTCCATCACGAGTGAGGTCTTTCGACACGCTGAGCAGAAACTCAATGTTGACCATTCTGAAGGCGCTGTGAATGTTTTGATCCACTGACGTGTTGGTTTAGTCATTCAGGGCCTGACCGTCCGTGCTCGTTGATATCGCAGAGGAGACGGTCAACGACGTAGAGTTCAGTAATCTTGAGACTACGCTTTGTGGTGGATTGGTGATGAACTGTGGCATACTGAGGAATCGTGGATGGGCTCCAACACTTAGTAACGGCAGGAAGGCTTATGTATTTTGCCGTCGAGGGCTTTGCTAGTCTCAATTGTTTCCTCTTGACTTCGCTACTGATGGGGACTTGGGCGCTTGTCTTCGTACTGGGGAAAGTGTGTATTCGGAAGGCAGTTGGAACGGAGCGCTTGTAGGTGTTGTAGTTGTATTTGGCTCGCGGGTCGAAGCTTCGAGGTTGCAGTGTTCTGTGAGGGATGGTTTAAGCATTGATCAGAGTATTGGGCTTCGTCACTTGGGGGCAAGGGCAATTAGCGATGGCCATTGAAGATATGTGAATGCTTTGGTGTAGAACAGACATGCTGGACAAGTTGTTGCCCGGAGAGGGACAGAAATAGGTAAGACGTCCGAACATGTGTCTACTCAGAGTACCAGTGCTAGCACATCGAAGGTTCCTCATCAGTTGAACGCTACTGTTTGTATCCTCCTGAACTTCAGGAGAAAACTCATGCCATCCTGATGACGCGGCGAGAGACTCCCAACCTCTTCAATCCAGTTCAATAGGGTCGTAGCGGACGTTTCTGCGAGAATCAACTCATTGGCTTGCCTCGCAAGTAATATGAATCGCGTTGGGAGATCTGTCAGCAAGGCTGGAGGTGCTGTTCAGGTAGCCCATCATGACAGATGTCGGAGCAAACCAGACCATCGTCGCGAATATATTTTTCCGTTGTTGTATATCTTGGGTTTGCGTGCTGTGTGGAGTAAGCCAGGTGACTGCCCCACTCGATTGCCATACAGAAGAACATTCGAGAATTGGGCCGCGGGTTCACCACATTGTAAGGCAAAGCTATGGAATACGGTGGAATTCAGGGAAGTTTTCCTAAGCAATCTCGTGTATAACAACCGGAGCATGACCATCTTCATGCATTCTTCCCTTCATGATGTTAAGACTCAATCAATCCTTTCAACCCTATCGGCCCTACTGTCCTCTTTGTAATTCGAATTCCAGAAGCTAACCGTATCCGGGACGAGTGTACGGAGTAGTTGAGCTGTGGACATATCAGTACCCTATAATTACCTGAGACGGCAATGCAACAAGCAACGCCGTCGCACCTATGATCCCTAAGAGAAGTCAAATTCGAAAGTGAAGTCATCGACTTGAAAATGACTGAAACTTCATCAGCCATCACATTCGTGGTAAAATTACTATTGGTAGCAGAAGCTTTTCCTCGTTTATCCATGAAGGCGGACTCGATGTTCGAAGACTGCGGCTGAACTACCCCTGGGAAGGGGATTGCGTATCTACTTATGATCGTGGGAATAGAGAACGGAGAACGAAGGAGCTGCTGAGTGAACAGTAGTGCTTGGTAAGAGTAGACTGAGAATTACTCTTACTTGTACCCGATTGGGTGCTTCGTATAGCCTAACGCATTTGGCATCCCTCGTTTAATTTACGGATCCCGCACCTCAAGATCCCAACACGCGATGTCTCTTCTAGGAGGATGTCAAAAGGATTCCTCGAATATCACCCGAGAGTGTGGCCCACGTCCCAAAATCAATCGAACATCTTTCATTCTGGTAGATCCAGGAAATATAAGATATGGCTTTGGATCTCCCCTGACCAAATCCAAATCCACACGGGAATCCTAGTACTCGACCTCAGACTTCGTAACTCCCCCAGAAAGAGTTCTAAGAATAGTCACTCGCCCACCGCAAAGGTTGCCGCCGGCAGACGGACCAGCAACCCGACGGACCACCTCAATCCTCAAACAGCGTCTCCAAAAGGACCATACAGCTGAGGAGCGGATACCCATAGCCTAGCGCCTCCGTACATGTATTCCTTCCGCTAATCAGGCGTCCCTCGCTAACCAGGTATCTCCGCGCGCCGTTGTCGGTCGCTCACGTCAGCGCTTCATCATACGGGTCGCCTTACAAAAGGGGTGGAAGCGGGTAAAGTAAGACTCGAACGAAAGGATGGACGTCGAATACGAACGTTGACAGCTTTGCTGACCGCTGGACGGTGAGACGGCTTCTGGAATACTAGGATGAGCGCAGCCGAGCATCATCATCGCTCAAACGCTGCCCGGATCCTGGAAGAAGCAGTACGGCTCGTAGAATAACGACGATGAGCGCAGCGGCAGCTGAGCATCATCATCATCTCTCAAACGCTGCCCGGATCCTGCAAGAAGCGATACGGCTCATAGGCTCCAGGTGTACCTCTCTTGGTAGCATTTGACGAACTTTCGTGAGGCGATTACCGCTTCGAGGCAAGCGAAGGGGGCGCAGCAAACGCGATACTCGTATAGCGATGTCGCACAATCCTTTCTCCTTTCTCCTTCGTATTTCCCACTCCGCACTCAAAAATTGAAGCATCCAGAAGAGGGAAACGCAGAGAATATGTACACAGTAAGAGCTCTTAGTCAGACTTTTTCTACCCAGATTACGGACGAAACCAGGAAGGACTGCAGAATTGCAAAAAAATGGAAAAACTAACTAACTCAAAGTCGTGAGCTAAGATTGTACCGTTACACGTTCTCTCGCAATCCTTTACCCAAGCTCAGCTTTGTTTCCCATACCGCGCTATGCAAACCCTCTGAGTAAATCATTCCAACCCGCTATGCAGAAACAAATCCGACCATCATCATCATCACCATCACCTCAGCGAGTCCTCAGCGTACCGTCGGGGTTCAAGAACGGCCCCAGAGCTCCCTGAGCTCTAAGTCTAACCAATACACCCATCAGCCATCCGTTTCCCAGATTTTGAAAAAGGAATTCGCACAACATACCGTTGCACCAAGGCGTCATTCTGGGACATCCACGCGTTCCAAACATTGGTCGCTTCTTGCTGCCAGTACTGCCGGGCACAGTAAACCTGCAGATACAAAGTCCGATGGCTCTCGAGTCTGTGCGACTGCAGCGTCGAAACGACGTTGTAGATGGGAGCGGGAACCTGGTACTGTTAGTCTGGAGCGTCAGTGTATGCGGTTACAGGGGGGGGACTGACTCCATTCACCTGGCCCCGGAGAGAGTTGATGATGACGCCAACGGTCTCGTCGGTGGGAGTTGCGTTGTTGGAGTTGCGGATGTAGAGCTTGATCGCCATGGCGACTTGGCACTCGTAGCGAGAGAAGTTCCAGCCATTGAGGGAAACACAGGTGGGCTCCATGGGTGTCTTTTTGCAGTTGGTTTCGCAAATCGTTTTGCAGTTGGAAAGCTTAGGCATGGTTCGATGTTTTGCGGGAGGGTATGGGGCTTTTGTACGAGAACAATGGTGTGCTGGGGGAGCGTTTTCCCAAGAAAGGATCGAACAGGTGTTCTCAGACTCTCAGGCAGCTGTCGACGCATCCGAGGGATCCTGGCACGGTGATGATGACGGTGAGGGAAACGGGGGATTGATAATGAGTCACGCAGCTCAAACGTGGGAATGGCATCTCTGATATGCTGAAGAGATAAATAGATAGGCAGACGTTTTGGGACCCGGAGGAAAGGTGGTGGGGACCGATCCCCTTTCATCGGGCAGTGCTGTAGAAATTGGAGGTGCACTCCATGCTGAACCTACGGGGAAGGCACGCAGAACACTGTACGTTTGGATGAGGTCCAAGGGGTAAAGATTATGACACTGTGAAAGAGAGGTGTGACAATTTTCAAAGGCACGCAAAACGGTTTTGAATGGGATGAAGCCAGGGGAAAGGAAAGATTGTTGTCGCATGGCCACGGATACGGCCGACCTGACGATAATAGAAGTCAGAAGTCAAAAATGCCACAACGGTCGACAAGAAGCATTTTCCTTTTTTAGGCAGTGCAGTCTCCCTCATCATTTCCCTCAATGCCGTAGAGCGATACGACTCACCGTGTTGAATCACGGAGGAAGATATTTGTTACACGGATGAGACGCGTCTGAAGATGCGGTAAGGAGGCGGTCGGCCCCCAAACCTTTGGAACCTCGCCAACGCACAGGATTCGCCGTAGCCCCGAGCCAATGTGAGGTTTCGCAACGTCTTTCTAACGTGGCGGTAACTTTTCCGAGGGAAGGATAGCGCAGCAGGAACGGTGTGGTGTGTCACGTGGATGGAGATGACCCAAGACCGGGTTTGCGATGGTGGACGGGAGTAATTAGTTCCAGCCGCTTACTCATACTCGTACGGGTACAGAGGATCAGACAGGTACGCATCCTAAACGCGAATACGAGGCGTTTGAGGTTAAAAGCGGAAGGAAGAAGACTTGACCTCAAATGGTGAATGCTTGCACTGAGAGTGCTGACTCACGCACGAGAAAGCTATTTCAATGTGTCAATTCTGCCTCTGATCTCTCAATAAAAATCGGAATTTTTGCGGAAAACGACCAGCGTCTTCGAAGGTTCTACGAAAAAGAGCAGAAAGACAAGAGCGAGCGGACTGTCTCCGAAAAGGCAAGATGTGCAAAAAAAAAACATAACCCATTCGAACAATCTTCTGGAAAACGTCTCAATCCAGGTATCTAAACATCCTGCGAGTCACTAGCAAGCAGGCTTCCACGATCTATCATTTTGAAGTATTGGAAGAGGAACCCGGAGAGGAAGACGTGGGGGAAGCCTGAGTCTTCAGAGTGCCATCTGGGTTGAGGAATGGCGCGAGGGCACCTGTAGCTTTCAATCTAGAAACCCAAGTCAGTCTCCGAACCTCCATTCAAGTATCAGAAGTTACAACACGATTACGGACCTCTTCACAATATTGTCGTTCTGCTTCAACCACGCGTAGTATACCCGACTCGCTTCCCTGTTCCAATGCGATTTGTTGACGTACACACTCATATAGATCGACCGCACCCCCTCTTGGGAATGGCGCTGGATCTGGGGCATGATGTTCTGGCAGGGCATGGCTGTTCCATTCACCTTTCCGCGCAGAGAGTTGACAATGTAGCCGAGGGTTTCGTCGCTGGGAACGGCGCTGTTGGCGTTCTTGATCCAGAGCTTGATCGCACAGGCGACCTGGCATTCGTATCTGGAGAAGGTGGCTCCGTTGATGGTAATCTGGGCTGGTTCTGATGACATTGTGGAGCGGTGGATGTAGGTGAAGTTCCACAATGGGCTTTTCGATGCTGGGAGAAGGATGGCAGTGTTTGATAGGTGAGTGGATATGTGTGAGACCCTTCTGCTGTTGGTTTGGGGGCCATAGTGTGGGCACGAGGCCGTTTATATGCGAATTCTGGCTCGAGCAAACGGCTGATGATGGTTTTCGTTTAGAACATAATGACATCGTAGGATTTCCAGCGAAGCGACAAAGGACTACGCAGGAAGCTGAAGTCATACGGGTGAAGCGAAGGATAGGGGAACTGCCAATACGGTACATCTCATAGCAAACAATGGTCTGTTTAGTACAGGGGATTTCGCGTGATTTCGCGTGATTGCTTGAGAGGATGGTCGGGAAAGCGAGAAGGAAGACGCACACGTAAAACTTTATACGCCTTGATTGTATGATGAGCACGGCCTTGGAAGGAAAGACTTACGAATATGAGAAAGATCTTTACATCGTTCGATTATAAATGTATGAGTCGAACGATCCCAGAGGATAGTGGTGTGCTGCGCTCCCTCGCTTTGTGGACACGGCAAATGTTATACGCGAATACGGCAATGATGTGAGATCGGAGTCCGTTTCGGGAGGTTCATGGGATGCGGATAAGGCCGACATTGAAGTATGAATGGTCTTTGAGTCGGCTCAGGGTGACCGAAGAAGAAAGATGACCCCATCCGTAGAGTCGAGACGAAAGAACCGTGTATAGGAACAATGTGCACATTGTGCTTCTGTTTGGGAGGCTTAGCTGCAATGATTGGTGCTTTCTGTTCGCGTACATGTGCGGACTTTGCAAGTGTCGGTGAACGCATTTGGGGGTAATTTTGAACGTATGCATGCATCCCGAATCCTTTTCAATTGCGTAGGAATTGAAGAAGAATCTTCATAAGGCGGAAATTCGCTGGGTACGCAGCCGTATGCGGGTAGGGGAGTAATTCCACCAATCGTTTGTTGTCTTCGTGGGGATTCGGCTGCACAGCTCTCAGCCTTATGGCGTTTTTGATAGGAGAACACTCTGTCGTGCATCTTGTCAGGATCCTATCTCGGGTGGAATAGCCTGATTCTTCACGGACCGTACTGACCGTTGCTCAGGTACGCTGCCAATCCGCCCGGCCGGATCCATCGTTTCCCTACGCGCACCAGGCATTTCGGGACTAGCATTGTACCGTTGTACCATTATGAGATAACATACCGCCTGAGAAGCAGGCGGAATTCCTTATTTTGCTACATCCTAGGCGTGACTCGGGCTGAGAATACAACAGCTCCTGGGGAGCCGAATGAAAGATACAGAGTGTAATTGGACCGCGATCCGCTTCGAAGGACAAGAGGGAAGCTGCAGTCACGATCCCTATTTACGTCTCATCAAAGCAACATCGGATCTGGCATTTTGCGAGTGTTAATAGCTGCATCGAAAACCACATAAGGCCAAAAGGGGTTAGTGTGTGGATCCATAGGATCATGACCACTATGAGCCACCCTCTCGGGAAATCTGCAAATCGATTACAATACCACATAGGGGTCTGTGGCCAAAGTAAATGATTGTTTTGAATGTCTTGCAAGCAGATTGTGGTACATAACCCCGACTTCAAGAAAGAGATCACTGCAAGCCGTCATTCCAGATACCTCGCAAGCAAAGTAAATCAAAACACCCATCATAAGCCCAGCGCAAGCCATCATTTCAATCATGATGAAAGCAAATTCCAGCAGAAGCCTCCAGATTTCAACCCTAGTTGCATACTATTAGCATGGGACCCCACGTACTCTACAAAGGAGTCGGCATGCACCTATGCCATCCCTCCATGCCCACCTTGCCCATCGCTCCCACCGGACCCGGTAGGGCTTTCCTTCAAACACTGATCATAACCTGCAACAGCAGCGGTCCGAGCGATTTTGCCCTCCCTCACCAGCCTGCAACGACATACGTCAGTCCTCGAGATCACTAACCCCCAAAACCCACATCATCATCGCCGCAAACTCACCGCGCCACAAGTTCCGTCATCTTGTTCCTCCAAGTCCAGTACGCCGCTCCTGCTTTTCCCCTCCACTCAAGATCATTGTCTACAACATCTTGCCAAGCCTCCTGGTGTAGAGGGTTGGTGCTGTCTCGGAGGAACGTTTCGATGCCCTGACATGGCAGTGTACCGGAGATGTTGCGCATGTCGAGGATGACGGCGCCAATGAGTTCCGAGTCGGCGTACGTGCCATCGTCGTTCTTGCAGTAGATGTAGAGCGCGGCTGCGATTTGGAGCTCATTTTTTCGGAAGAAGGAGCCGTTGAGTGTACTGCCGTGGAACGGCATGTTGTTATGATTTTGGAAAGAGGGACCTTTGGGTTGATGCTGTAAGGATGCGGAGACGCTGAGGGTGTTTGTGGTGAATTTCTGCGGAAGAACGGGAGAATGGTAGATCAAAGTGGATGTGTTGCAGTGGGATGAGTTAAGAGTTGCACTGTAACGAGGTGTTATTCCAAGTGTTGTGACTCAGTGACTCTGTGAAGTGATGGTGTGACACAACTTGACTGAATTGACCTAAAGATATATTCTTAGCTGTGAAGACTGGAAAAGGTGGCGGCTACCCCGATTGGTTTGTCTAATAAGCCGTCGCTGTGGCAAGAACGGCAGCGGACCTTTGACACTTAAGGGTAGATGTGCAGCTATGATTTCGATTGGGGACGATGTGAAGAGTGAAAACAGCTGCAGTTGGTGCATGAGAACGCAATAGGGCCTGTATTGCTAAGGAAGAAAAGCCTCCATGGGCAGTTGAGAGATAGTCTATCTGGCCAATCTCCCTACTCCGAACAATGTCTGCTTCATGGCGCGGAGGATCATAACTACACAGCCAGACAGAGAACGTGACAAAGCGTTTTGAAATAGAGATTTTGGGTATAGAGATTTTGAGTTACAAAAGCTAATGAGGCTGTGACCCGTATGGAACGGCGGCTGAGCTCGTCATTGATTGAGGAACCCTGATGAGGTCAGTGCTGCGCAGACGACACAAAGTTTCAAGTCATGTCAGGGTATTTGTCCATCAAATTTCTTCCATTTGTGTTGCAAAGATCAATAAATTTGCCTCATGTAGGGAAGACTACCTTACAAATCATTCCGATCGCTTCAGGGATTCCTCTGTCCTCCACCAACATTATAAAAGCGTCGCCTACTTTTGTAAGCTCACTGTTTGCCTCTTGTTGCCAAGCAGCCGGAAATCTGGGATACGCAGAGCTGTGGCTCTCCACTTCGCCTTGGTCACTAAGCGAAATGCGCCAGGTCACTTTGAGCTGGACGTTGCTCCGAGCGAAGATAAGGTCCTGCACGCCGAGAAAGAAGAGTGGACTATTAGACTCGGGAGCATTTGTAACAAGGTCTCTAAAGTCCTGCTTGCAGCTGATCCAGCATTTACCTCGAAGTTTTGCAACCTCCCAGTAACGTCCAAATGCCCTTCCCAAAGCCGCCAGCTCCATTTTCTCACAAGGTTGTCGCAGCCACGAGCCTAGTTCTGGCTCAGCCCATGAGCTTAGCGCTTGAATATCTAAGTGTGAGATTTGCTGGGTGGTAATATTCGCAGTGAGTTGTAGATCGCATATCAGTAATTGCTGCGCCATTGACATGGTTATGTCTTGTCGCTGCAGGAGATCATTATCCACTGTGGGAGGGAGCAGTAACTTGTTGGAGGTGGTGATCGTAAAGGGTACAACCATGGGTTGCAGTATGTCCAAATCCAGAACCTGGTCCACGTCCGTACCTTTGGGGGAAGGAGGCCTCGGCTCTGGTGGACGATCTTTTGTTGAGAATGGGAGATACCTTGCAAGACGCTGTGTGAGGGAGGATGGCTTCGTAGAGGCTGCTTTCCGATCGATCCCTTCCGGTCTCGTCTGACTATGGTCAATACCCTGCGTAGCTTGAATCTGTAGAATCTCGTCCCGCAACTGGAAAATCTTTGTGCTTCGCCGTGTGACTTCCTCCTTTTGCTTCGCCATGTATTTCCCTTCCTTGATTTTTCCCGGCTGCCACGAGGATACCAGTAATTGCCGCAGTACCTTATCCTCGATGTTCTGGAGCTGCTTTTCCACTTCACTCAGCTTACTCTGCATTTCTACCAAACGGGCTTCTTCCAGCGGAAGAGGTGGCTTAGGAGTGTTCGCTATATAGCGTCGAGGTCCTAGGTTGGCAGTTGAGGACTTCTGTGTCTGAGTTGGTTGCTCTGGAGGAACATTGGGGGGTTTCAATGGTGAAGACTTTGCGCTGGATCGTCCTTTTCTCTTTGATCTCCTGCTCGGGCTACTGAAAAGCAGACCTTTTGGTCTCTCCCGAGGGGGCTCTAGACCTAACTGTGAAGGCGTTGACGGCAAACTGGGCTCTCCATCCTCTCCAATACCCATTCCAGAAGTCGGAACGTAACGCCCACGTTGAGTTGGAGTGGATGGGATTTGGGAATTCTGACTATCCGGAACGAATGTGATGCCAGTGCTTCCCACGTCTGCCATTCCTGCAACAGGCTCGTGCTGTACCCCGTTCGTACCATTAGCCGCCGGTCCTTCGACTCTTGCTTCCTCGGGTGGTGAGGCCCGAGGGTTTGGGTCCACCACAGACTGGCCCTGCTTTGCCGAAACGTTGCCCTCTCCGAGATTTGGTGACCTTTGCGCCGGTGTCACTAGAAGTCCATGTCTCTTCTCCATGCCATTCATCCCCGATTGCGACTCTTTCGAAGCTGTGCCTGCAACATGCCCTACTACTTGTTTCGTTCCACCTCCCACGACTGGATCTTGCTCGAAAGTGTCATGTATTTCCTTGCTGACAGGCCTAAGCGGCTCGACCGATTTAGCCCGAGGCAGAATATTTGGATGGAAGCGCGCGAGGCTTGCTTTTGTCGGCGACATGAAGGATGATCGTCTCCTGCTTGGGCTGGCGCCATTCCGAGGCAATGGTCCAAGATCTGTGTTCTCCACAGTCACTGCGATAGAGGTTGAGGGCGATGTTCTTCGTCGCTTCGATGGAGACGAATCCATGTTCTAGAGACGTGACACTGTGACTTCTGAGGAGCTAAGCCGGCCAGCATGTCTTTGGTATTAGCGAGCACCACGTCCAAAGCAAGGTCCTCAGAATTCCGTCAAATGAGCCCGTGCCTTTGTGCAGGTAGAAGAGCTGGAGACGCGCTTCCAACGCCCCGGCGCATTCCGTAGATCCTCGGGTAGATGTACTTAGCGGAGAAATCTCCGCAGTGCATGTCCTAGCGTCCTTAACTGTATATCATTCCTCGATGCTGATTCGTTCGAAATGCCAAATTTTCTTATGTAATTGAGCCCTACAAGCCTAACCCTAAGCTAACCATCTTCCTCGGAGGACGAAGGCCAGTGGTTAAGGTACCTAGGTATGCTCCTTCATGTCCCCCTTCTTCGATCTCTTGACGTCCACTTCCACTGGCTAAAATAACAAACTTAGCGCGCTGTACGAAAGGCTCCTGATCATGCCTCGCGAACCCAAAGACTGGGACAATCAGTCCCGTGAAAAGAAACCCTCCCCTCTCGGAACCTCCATCTTTGTCGGTCTCCGCGCAGCAGACACTGTCCTCCAATATAGCATCCTGCAGCGCGGATGGGGCTCCCAACTCATCCAATCCCTCGGCGGCAGCGTTGTTCCCTTCGCCACGCCCCGCGACCCTGCTCTCGCCTACTTTGGCTTGGGTCCGTATCCAGCAATACTCTCCGCATTGGCACTGGGGGCTAGCACGAAGCACGTAGCATGGGTTCTGGGTGTCTCAGAGCAGGAAATGCTGCCTGCAGGAGCATTGATGATTGGAGTTTTCAATTCGGTAGTCAATACGCTGAACACGATGTTCTCGCTCTGTACGTACATTTCCGAGTTATTTTCCCCAAATGTACATCAAAACTTGAGTCGCAACACATTGCTCGGGAGCAAATCCCTCCTTCTACTCTGGAGACCTGTTTTATAACCCAGGTTCTTTGCCTCGAAGGAGCAGTGCTGACTCCGAACTTTGCGTAGGGACTATCACAAGTGCAGCGCCGCAAATGGCGACGCAGTCGGCTTCGATCACGGACGTGATTACGTCGAGTCCTACATTGATGCTTGGACTCGGGCTGTACACCGTTGGCATCGTCACCGAGTTCGCGTCTGAGCTGGACAGGAAGAGATTCAAGGACAAGCCTGAGAACAAGGGAAAGCCGTATGGTGGTGGACTGTGGTCCTGGGCTACAAACATCAATTATGGTGGATATACGCTTTGGAGGGCTGGGTATGCGGTGTCCGCGGGCGGGCTGCCCTGGGGTGCTTTCGTTGGGGCCCTCTTCGCTTATGACTTCGCCTCCAGGGCTATACCATCGCTGGATAAGTACTGCACCGAAAAGGTATGTCTTTATGGCCATTTGTCTTGACGATCAAGTGCTAAAGGCGTGCATAGTATGGTGATCAGTGGACGGATATCAAGAAGCGTGTGCCTTACAGGCTCCTGCCCTTCATTTATTAGGCAGGATGCACGAGCCCAGGCTTTCGTGGCAATTGATTGGGTAAGATAGAGAAGTGGGTACACAGTGTAGAAGTAACCGGCGGCCCTCAGCTCTTGTATACACATGGACCATGCGTAGCAACTCAACTTTGGGCTTGATACTATTTTGATTACAGCTCCCGAAATCCTTTACCCAAAGCCCTGGCTGATGAACTTATGTTAGGCTTTCCGGTCATTCTCTACGTAATTGCATGATCGAGTATGTTTTTCAGTGTCAATGCTTACTTTCTGGGGTATCATAAAAGCTCACTGCCAACTTCATAGAACACCAAAGCTGGACTTACACAATTCCACCATCATCCCCTTCTTACCTCCTCTAACCGTGCCTTCCACTTCTCCGCCCACGCAGTAAATTCGTCCTCGTTCCCACCCCAGCCAATCCGTACTTCTTCCACACAAATCTTCGAGATTTCCGCAAGGTTCCCCAACCGATCCTCCACTTCCTCCTCATCACCAGCGTACAGAGCTCCAGCGATCTCGTCCGTTTCCTCCGTAAATTGCTTGGTGTGGTCGAGTAGTGCATCTAGACTTTGTATATGCGATGATGTGGGAAGGCTCTCCGACGTGGTAGAGTTGTTAATATTGGAAAATGTCAAAATCCGGCGTTTGATCAGCGCAGGGTAAAGCAAACGGATTATGCGGAGGATAACGAGGGTGCGTTTCCGGAGGGCAGCAACGGGTGAAAGAGTGAGGCCTTGGAGCGATTTCTCGAGAGAAGCATCGACCGGCCAAGCGGATGATGTGGTCCCCTTGTTGGAGGTCAGGGAGTCTGTATCTGATTCAGACTCCTCGTCTGGATCCCACTCCTCCAGCTCCGCGATGGCGTCCTTTAACAAGCCATGAAACTCTTCAATCCTCTCCGCTGCAAGCCTCGTAAGGCCACCCGAGCCAAGGGCAACCACCTTGTCGCATTCTGCCCATAGCACGCCAGTAGAAGCCAAAATATCTCTACTCCCAGTCTTTTCGATGCCGTGCTCATCCTGCGGTATCAATGCTAGCAGACTCTGCAATTCCATCATCATCCTCGACAGTGAAGTTTGTATATACTGGTGTAGAAGGTTGGTGTATTTTTCTGCAGGGCAGAGCTCGAGTGCGCTCATCATCGCTGGGAGGCAGCTGTTGGACAGAGAGTTCAAGATGAAAACTATGGCGGACGCCGTGAACGGCTTGTTGAGGATTAGGAGAGAAAGCTTCGTAGTTTGCGCTTTGAGGATCTGAGAAGCATCGGAGAGGAGCGCGAGAGGATTCGGAGAGTCTTCGATGGGTGGGTGGACAGGCGTTGGAGATTGGAGAGCGGTATGGAAGCGGTGAAGGAGGGTCTTGAGGTTCAGTATGGTAGTCTTTAAGGTTGCAAGGGCGTCTGATTGTTTGGAAGGGGCCATTTTTTGTGAAGATCATTACAGCGGTAAGGCCTAGAAAGCAGTTTGAAGCTGAGAACATTCATTCGAAAGTTTGACAAGTTGATGGATGAGGACTAGCGTTGGTGGGAGAAGATTACTAGTGCCTTTTGGCCGAGTGTGAATAAGGTATCTGTTCTTTTTATTTCATCTTGAATGCAGGATGATGAATGTGAAAAGTGTCTGGGATACTACTGGTTGAAATGAGACGGGTATATGGGTACGGCGCCGAGATTTCGTACTCAACATCATGGCTCCACGTCAAGCCAAGCCAGTAGAGCGTGTGCTGCCAACCCAGACATTGATCATCGACAATGGAGCCCATACCATGAAAGCTGGCTTCGCTACATCAACATTGAGGTTAGAGGATTGTCAGGCCATTCCAAATTGCCTCGCAAAAGACCGTGGGAAACATGTATGGATCGGAGCACAGTTAGAGAAATGCAATGACTTTGGCGAAATCGCCTTTCGTAGGCCGGTTGAAAAGGGCTTTCTCGTCAATTGGGAAGCCCAGAAAGCTATTTGGGATAATACGTTTTTTGAGAAGAACGCTAAATTGGCGGTAAGTGTTCGCTATCATCGTTGATGGTACATTGTGCTGAGTGGTCTAAAGTGTGACCCTCAAACCACAAATCTCATTCTCACAGAAGCGCCAAATACGCCAGTGTCTCTCCAAACCAACTGTGACCAGGTCATCTTCGAAGAGTATGAGTTCGCCTCGTATAGTAGATGCCTTGGTTCGTAGTACCAGCACCACTCCTATATTAAAGGTCGGACTAACGTTAAGGTAGGTCCATCTCTGAACGCCTATCAGGACATCCAAAGCCTTTTTGGGGCACCCCCTCGCGGACACGATCTTGCTGCTCTCCCTGCCGAGTGTTTGCTTGTCATTGACTCAGGCTACTCTCATTCAACCGTCACCCCTCTCTTCAATGGTCGGCCCATACAGCAAGCCGTCCGCCGTCTTGACATCGGTGGTAAGTTCATGACGAACTACTTGAAAGAACTCATCTCGATCCGTCATTATAATATGCTCGACGAAAGCTATGTAATGAACGAAATCAAGGAAGCAGTCTGCTACGTCAGCCAGGACTTCAAACGTGATCTTGAGCGGACTTGGAAGCGAACCTCTATAAGCCGGAAGAAAGCTATAGGTGACGAGCGGGACATCGTTGTTGACTATGTGCTTCCAGATTATAACGCTCACAAGCATGGCTTCATGCGTCCTCATGACCCTTCTCCGACTGCGAAGATGAGGAAGATGGGATCGATGGCCGGAGCAGGTGATGTCGTCGAAGACTATATGACCCTTGGAAACGAGAGGTTCATGGTGCCAGAGCTATTATTCAGTCCGGGAGATGTGGGCATGAAGCAGGAGGGGTTGCCAGCTATCGCCTTGCAGAGTCTATCTGGTTTACCGCCAGGACTGTGGCCGGCTATGTTGGCGAACATTCTTGTCGTGGGCGGCAACTCGAAGATTGAGGGATTCATGTCAAGGCTGTAGGTATCTCTGGGCTTCGTGCCTTTATCGTTGCTGATGTGGTGAATAGCGAGACGGAGATTCGGCAGCTTGCGCCTTCGGAGTGTGTAGTTCGTATTGCAAGAGCTTCTGAGTAAGTTGGTCCTGAGTTCTGGCGCGATTGCTCCTGCCATTACTGACAGTCTGTAGTCCAATCAAGTCAAATTGGCTCGGTGGTGCTTACCTCGCAGCGGACCCTGCCGCGTTGAAAGCAGTCCAAGTCACTAGAGAGGAGTACAACGAAAATGGAAGTGCCTGGCTCGGAAAGGTCTTCTCGGTAGCTGTGAGACGGTAGCAGAGACAGGGGCATGCTTGCATTGCAGATCGTCGTGGTGCTCTAGCCTTTCTCTTTTATCTCAATTGAGCCACGAACTACCATATCTGGAAGCTGCAATCTGTACATCATGGAGTCCCATTTGAGAAATCGATCCATGAGATTGTCTGTAAGCTGACTTCCCATGCCTTTGTCATGAGGACGGAGACCCGGTCTCGCGCCAAGACTTATCCAAACGGGAACTAGCGATCAACACCCAGCATCTTCCACACTTCTCTTTCTTTGATCCTCCTCGTCCTCCTCGTCCTCCACATCTCTCCTACTCCCTTCCAGCCTCTATTCAGCCAGACTCACTGTCGATCGACTCTCTCTTTCTCTCTCTTTGTCTCTCTCTCGTCGACGTGTCCCAAAAGCTAGTACGTCCACGAGCATCTCATCCTTCAACATACCAGATACGCAAGCGTTCATCCATCATGTGCTCTGAGTGCGGAGATGTACACGAACCTCTCTGCAGCTACTGTGGAGAGAGTTGCTATGGCGAATGCAATGACCCGGACGTCTGCCCAAGTTGCTGGGTCCCCGCCAATGATCCGGACGATTTTGACGAGGCTGAATTCATCGATGAGGCTTTTCGTGGTTGTGAGGATGAGAGATGCATCTGCCAGTGTCACGAGACCTTCTTCCGACATGAAGGATGGTGGGTTGAAGCCGGTGTACTCAAGATGGAAGACGTGGATGGCCTGCCATACCTGCCATACGTGCGCACAGGAGTGTTCCCGTTCCTCAAGCTACCGGGAGAGATCCGAGACAAGATCTATGGCTCTGCGTTCTTGCAAGATGGCAACCAACGCAAGTGTGCTAGTCATCGTGGCAACATCCATACTGCACTGCTCGGCACCTGCCGCCAGGTCTACAATGAAGCACGTCACCTGCCATTGACAACTAATAAGCTCTGCTTCAACTCTCCAATCTACGCCCATGACTTTCTGGGCTTTCTACTTGCTCCAACTCAGCACGATCTCGTGACAGGGATACACATCGAGTTCTACATCGGCGAATTCTCCAACTCAAGCTGGGCGCTTCTATTGAGAGAATTGACGAAGATGCCCATAACCCATATCGGTCTGACTGTGAAAGGCAAGTTTCCTAAGGAGGTAGTGTCTGAGCATGTCTGCTTTACCAATCGTTTCAGGGTGCTCAAGGGTCTCAAGACTTTCGACCTCATTCTTACCCCCAGCTGCATCTCGAAAGGTGACAAGAAGGACATCCAAGAAACCATGAGGGAGAACTTAATCAAAGACTACGTTCGTCCCAAGGAGCTCACAAAGTCCAAAGCTAAGCGGATGGTAAGTACCGAGAGCAATGAAGGCTCAAAGAAGCCGGCCAAGAAAGTCAAGAAAGGCAACAGTATGGTTAGCAGCTCTCCCAATATCTAACATTAATTAGCAAAAAGCTGATTCTACTTGATTAAGTACCAGACAAAGATTTTTGCTTCACCCAGGTCCAGTCGCCTCGGCCTCAAGTCCCAGAAGTCCAAGCGTGATGCCGCCAAAGCAGCCAAGGAACGGGCGAAGCAAAATCTGCTTGACCAGTACAACCAGCTGAGGCAATACGCAAAATCGCTCGACACCGATGCCACTCCAGTCAAGATCCGTCTCGAGCAAGCTCGCGAGGCGGCGGAAGCCATTGACGAGACAAAGTTCGAGAAGTTGGCCCACGGGATCTTCTTGACCCTCGAGGAGCGATACAACAAGATCGCCGCCGCTCGCACAAATGTGCCTGTCTTTCGCGCGCCAGTTCAATCGTCCGAACCCACGTCTTCACAAGAGTTGTGTCAATCTTTGGACAGCCAAAGTATATCGCAGTCATCCACATAGACGTCCCTGTCTCATTACCCCAATGTGCTGCGATCGAAGGGGATAGATCACTAAGATTAGAGAGCAGATTTGCCAAGAGAAGCAATAGCATTGTGAATCCTATGTTTCTCATGTTTGCTGCTCAAGTCATGTCTATCGAGAAGCTTCCGCTGTAACTCCGCTTCGTGTATGCTTAGCATTATAACAGCATAGAATTTGCGAGAGGGTGACTGTCTAAGTGATGCTTTGTGTCGTCGACGCTTGTATGCACTTGAGTGACACGGTATCTCGGCTGTAGCCTCTACATGTTTTACCATTTGAACCTTATTGCAGTCAAATCTCAGTCAGAGATCCTGTAACGTCGATTTTGTCAAGTCCGAATGCTACAGATACAATCTTCAGACTCTGCCGTTAGTGTGCAGACAATTAGGCTTGAACTCTTCTGGATTAACCTAAGAATCTTGAGCAGCTGACACTGTGCGAGATGATGAGAGACTGCGCTCAAGCTTTCCCACTAAGTCAATGCTCGAGAACAGACAGGATTGGTCGAGGATCTCTGGGTCCAGCCTGTACTCTTTGACTGCTTGAGGTTGCGAAGTATGGGTTGTCGGACTTCTTGGGCTTGTAGCCCATGCATCTCGCATTTCCAGCAAATTAAGCGCTGTGGTGAGACAATTTTTGCGTTCTTCACCGCCCTTGCATACCCCAACCATGGCACTTATAATTTCTTGCTCACATACTGCATCGAAGCCTAACATCTCTGACGCACTACCATGAACACCATGCTACGAGGTTCCATAAGTCGCTGCTTCGCGACCAAGCGACCCCGCGGGCCCAGGTTCCATGGGGCCGCTCCACGACTCTCACGCATAGCATATCGTGCGCCGATCAGTCGATTTTCTACTCTCAACTTTTCTTCAGCATGTGCAGCAAGGACCCGACGACTCCAGGCTTTCAAAGCCCCTACTGCCATCCGACCGTACTCGTTACCACCTCTCCCTCCTCGAATGAACAACACGATACCTGTTTATCGCAGGAGTGTCAAAGGCAAGATCTTCGACAGTATGATGGCGCATCCACTCGCTTGGTTACTCATTGTCCTCTGCGTGTGCGGGGGTATACAATGGTCTTGTCAGTTTTACAACAGAGTAAGGCCTGTCTATAACGCAATATCCTACGTCAGCAGCAAGTGGGAAGGTTGGAAAGCGAGACGCAGACACCGAAGGGCGGAGAAGCTGGCGAGACGCGAACAGGCGGCTTTGGAAAAGAGGGGACGGGGAGAGCGGGGGGGTAGATGGCGAGATTATTTCTGGGCGCCGAAGAAGAGGGGAGGTGATGGGGAGGATGGGGAGGGGTGAGAGGGTGGGGTGGGGATGTCGGAGACGAGGGGTGGAGAAAGGGGTCGATGGAGGGTTGATGTGTCCAGCCACCAGTCGCCGGTCAAGGCCCCGGGTTGAAATGATTGGGATCGGTCGTAGATTCTCTACTCTCCGCTGAGCTGTATCGGAATAGGAACACCGCTCTACGGAATGCCTGCTGTTGCTGCAACGTCTATTCGGCAACTGTTTGGTGCGCTTGACCGGTCTGAACCCCTCGATCCACGCAATACTTCATTCATTGCCTGTCAGGGACCTAAAGAGTAGGTAATCACCACTGTAAACTACAGCGGTTCTGATCGCCCGCTCAATTTGCTTCGTTTTCCTTCCCTCACGGTTCGACTCCTCCGCCTTCTTTCTCCAATCGACATCCTTTTCCCCTTCTCACCTTTCGAAAACCCACCCACACAGCCACAGCATCTCAAACATTTGCTGCAGCCCTTGCAATTCACGCATTCGAAATCATTGATACCGGTGGTCTCGAGAACGTATCTGAAGGCCTTTTCCCTCCCTGTCAGCTTCTACGCGCCCTAATTCTCTAACGGAGAGCGCGTAACGGTGGCATCATTACTATGCCATAACCATCGGACCTCGGAAAGGGGTTCGCAAGACCAAGTATATTGGCTTGCGAGTGCGTGGTGATGTACTAGTACTTAGATAGGGGGAACAGTGATAACGAATTCGTGAGCATGAGTACTAGAACGAAACGGCATTGCTGGGGCCACCAGGGAGCGTTCGACTTCTCTTTCCACGGCTGTTTGACGCTGCGATGAAGGGAACTTGCACCATATGCAAGGGGCGGTGGGGCAATTGAACTGCATTTCGGGAAGTGTGTTTGTGTAGGTCAGGAAACCCCATCGATGAATCAATCTCAGGGCTCAAAGGCGTCAATACTATCTCATTTCAGCATTCAAGGGGTTACGGTATGCTTTCGAGATCTCCCGAGAAATATATAAGTAGGATATTTTGGGGACCCGAGGACGTAGTTTGGAGCTCTCGAGGTTCGGACAACGTGCAAAGGAGCCTAAAGTAACACGACTGCCGGACGTAGGTCCTCAATGATTCGCCATTTTATAGCTTTCAAAGGTGAAACCGACAGCATCGTTGTGGTTGAATCGGAACAACTTGATGCGCTATCTAAGCTTAGCCACAACGCTCTAGAGAAGTATGCATCTCACTCATCCAGCTCTTCTTCAGCATCCTTGTGAGCCTCTACAATACCTTTCCGCGAGGCGTACAAATAGACTCTGGAGAAACCGGCTCTTCGTTCACATCATCATAGCCATTGACTCGTCCTGTACAACATTCGTCTCTTCATAATCCGACCATGGTTGAGAAGGTAAGGTGAGTTTAGGCCAAGAGTTGAAGAAGACTGCATGTTCTCGCGAATCTTCCATTCCAGCTGGAAGTGCTGATGGCGAGCACCACGGATGTGTTCTGGTATAGAAGTCTTCGGCGTTGGGCTTCCATGCGACTGCGGAACTCGCGAGGTTGGCAAGCTGATTCTTTGGCCGGAGCGCAGGATCAAGTCTCTCAACAAGCACCTTCAGCCTATTTAACCAGGCATCCTGATCATCTTGGTGATCGTGTACAAGCAGGAGCAACATAGTGTAATCCATCTCCTTCAGCAGCAAGTGTAGAGTCTCGTCGAACAACGCAGATCTCGGAACCTGCCACCTCTCCTCGCCCAGCTGTCTGAAAGTCTTGATGGCGCGGAGAGTGTGATCTTTGCTCGCAGTCCCAGACTGTCTGATCTCTTCAGGCCAGTAATTTTGCGGCCAGGAAGGTCTTTGGATTCCAGCAGACTTGTGAATTTGTTGCCAAGTATGGTGGAACCATGCGTGCTCGACTTTGGACTTGAAGGAGGTAAGATGGTAAAGGTCGTAGAGTTGGGCGAGAGGAGGGAGTTCTATGAAACCGACAATCTCGCCGCCTGGAAGGAGTTGACCGGGACGCAGGCTACTGTGTGAGAAGACGACGACGGTGGGACCGAGTTCTCGTTGCAGTCTGGCTCGTAGGTTAGCATCGTGCCCAAACTCACAGTAATGGTAAGGTTCACACTGGTGAAGGCGCGTCCACTGCTTTGGAATACATTCGCTTTGAACTTTCAACCATCTCCCCTTCTTCTAAATCCTCACCGTTGCCCCTCTTGCGCTTCGCATGGCCCGCTGCTGGCATCGCCTGATACCCGCTGTAACCTGGCGGCGTACCATACATTTTAGGCCTGAGCAGCATTTAGGTCACCGCATACAATGAGGAACATGCATGACTCACAACGAGGAACTGGATGCCTCATATCCGTTGTAACTTGGCGGCGTACCACGCGTTTCAGGCCTCAACATCATTTAGGTATCGCATACAAACAAAGGATTCGCCAGACTCACAATAACGAAGAATTGAAGACTTGTTGTTGGTTCAAGGCTCTGGTGGCTCCTGTCTGGCGCGCATGTTCTAGTTCGAAGCTGCTTCTGTCTTGTTTGACATCCGCCCAGTAACCAGTCGAATGCGGCGTCATACCGACGTCTGGTGGCCTAGATGCTCATCAGACCAAATTCCGAAAACAGAGGACGGCGAGACATACGACGGTGAGAACGGGTTCCCCCCAGACTTCTCCATAGCTCTTACGTATCCCTCATCCTCCTTACCCCCGGAGCGCCTACCCTCCTTGTTTCGCGCCCACAGTCTAGCGGGCAGTGGCACAACATCAACGCTCGGACTCGCAGGCCTAGGTACTCATTAGTCTCACCCGCCTTCACCCACCCAAACACCAGCTCAACTCACATTGCGGACGGTGGGGGCGCTCCACTCCTCACCCTCCTCCCCTCATGATCATCACCCTCTGCTTTGCGCTTGAGATCCTTCCTCAGCTTACCGATTGATAGTGAAGGTTGGGTGATATAATCCATTCGAGGATCACTGGCAATCTGGTCATGGTACTCCATTGGTGGACGCGCTACGTGAGCCAAAGCATCGGCTGGAGGTATCTGTGCAAGGGTTGAGTTCGGAGGTTAGGTCGATGCAGTGTTGTGGAAACAGTGGGCGGTGGACGGCATTGAGCGGCTTATTCGAGTTCGTTGTAGTAAGATGGAGAGATGCACGGTCAGGTGGATTTCGAGTTGTAATAGTGCTGATCTTAATACTTGAGAAAAGATAGAAGCACGCTGTCGTGCGATTGGTAATTTGGATTCAAATTGGTTGAAAAATGATGTTGTGTTAAATGTCAAGGCGCGATTCAGAAAAGTCAAGTGCGACCAGCGAAGCGCTAGAATTGGCGACGGACTTTTCCCAGGGAAGAAAGAGGAACTTAGGTCACAACAATTGTTTCTCGCGTAACGTTGTATTACTACTAAGACTGCTTGCTATTGCTAGTAGGTGGATAGCCAATCCAAGAAGCTGGAGGCCCAATGCAGAGTGCAAGCAGCCGTTCCAAAAGCTATCCCAGCGTATCCATCTTAAACTCGCTCCTTTGCGTTTGAGCTTAGAGCCAATGCCTTGACACTGGGGAAATGCTAGACAATAATGTATCAGCAAAGCCCTTTGGGATATTGGCTCTAGCAATGCTTACCGGTGTTCCAAACCCAGAAACAGCATCCCAACCGGCCAATGCTGGGAAGCCACTTCCTCCGCAACCAATAGCCGAGCCACTCGTAATGTCTGAGAACGAAGAATAGCCCGTCGAGTACAGCCATGGATTTAGGAACCCAAGAGCGGGCTTGCCAGCTGCGAGTAGGGCATCATTGACCAGAGCTAAGATGGCAGAGGCTGTAGGTGTAGAAGCACTCGTGCCATCAAGGATGGTGATAGTTCCATTCCAGATGGTAACAAACCGTTGACCCTGGGCAGCGATGTCTGGATAGCCTCGGCCAGCTTTATTGTAGAGACCATTGAACTCGCCGCCTAAACTCGAGATGTAATTCTTTACGACACTGTTGTCATTTTGGTATGTTGGACGAGCAAAGTAGTTGCTGAAACCGCCGCCGCTTGAAAAGCCATTTTCTGTGTCAAACGCCACGACTTCAGGATTGAAGTTCTTAGTGGCTCCGACACTGGTAACGTAGGGGCACCCGTCTGGGAAGGAGGGGAGGAAGGTAGCGGTATTGTTGCCATCGTTGGTGAAGCAGTCGGCAGTAGGTCCGACACCGTTGTCACCACTTGCAGTAAGGAAGGATGTGCCTTTGGCTCCCAGTTGAGCAAAGAGGTTGCAGACTTTTTTGGCGTAGGCTTCGGGAACAGTTTGCTCGTCGTCACCGTAGGAAGAGCTGATAATTTGAGGAAGGGTATCAATGTCCAATACTGCGTTGAGGAATTGCAAATAAGGCTCATTGGTGTCGGTGGCTACATACACCGTCAGTGACTGCTGGAAAGTGGCTCAGCTGGAATATGGTTGGCTTACGAGTGAGATCATCTGGATTAAATGGAGGCATTCCACCCGTCGTGAATGCAGTAAGCGGAGTCGGGTAATCAATGCCAATGATCGTCTCAGCGTCAAGATTCCCCTCCAGATCCTTCCCTGCAGCCAACTGTGCAGGAGTGTCAGGCGTCTGCTGGTTATCGCCTCCATTGATGACATCAACGCTAAAAGTCTCGGCCTCTGATGCTGCGCCCTTGCGAAACATCTCGAGGAATATCTGGACATCGGAACGGTTGTTTGCCTCCCCCAAAAAGTCCGTCAAGCCGATTTGGTTCTTGCCTGGCACTTGCGGTGTGTATCCTTTGGTCCCGTAGAAGGTTCGAAGACACAGTGGCGTCACGAAGGTTGTATTGCATACCTTGGCCACGGCAGCATTCGCAGAATCAGGCGTGGCAGCAACTTCGGTCTCAGCGGAGAAGTCCGGAGCAGGAGCGGCTTCAACTTCCTCGAATGGTTTGATCGTCTTAAGTGTCCTTCGACGGCCAGCAGGTCGAAAGAAAGAATTCGTGGGCTGGATCGTATCGATATGTTCGTGTAAGTGCTTTGGCAGCGACCATTTGGGAGCCCGAATGATGCGGTCGCCATCAAGGTGTTCATAGATCGAGTACTTGGTATCAAGAAGGCGTTCAATTTCACGGACAGGCAGCGAGACTTTAATGAAGTCTTTCGCTCTATTATAACTAAGCTGGGCTCGATCAATGCCACTGTCAAAGAGCCAGTCGTGAACAAGGCTCAGGGTATCATCGGCAGGCTTGACCAGCTCGTCAACCTCTTCATTGGTGAGGTGCTGACCATAGCGAGGGTGGGAGGGCGTCGAAACTGTACATACCACAACCAAACGTTAGCAGTGTTAGCCATTCTCGGGGGAGCTTCTCATGCGTGTTGGGGGGCTTGAGAACCGGCTCGACATACCTTCATAGAGATGTCTTTCAAGCTCGTCGAATTGGCTTTGCTTGAGACCAATGTGCAAGTGTAGCAGCTTATTTGCAGGCGCTGAACCGACCTCATGCCATTTTCTTGGTACCTTGTGGGTGTCCTTGACGGCGTATTCGGTGCGAGAGCGCAGAGGAGAGCTAAGGATACAGGTTGAGGCAGCCAGAAGGCCAAAAGAGACTGAACGAAGGTGCATCAGCATATTGGATACTTTGTATTGGGAACCTGCAGCTGCAGGAGAGAGAGAGGTACTTACTGCCCTTTATCTAGCACCTGGCAGAAGCAAATGAGGAAGGTCCGTCCGTCTGTCCAAAGCAGAGCTTCCCCCACGATGTGAGTCTTGCAACTGATATTACCTATTGCTGTAAGGGTCAGGAGAGAACATTCTCATTGGAAGAGTGCTGTGATCACCTTGCCGGGAGGAGCAGGAGGTTGCGTCGTAGCGGTCATAACGTACATGAAGCTATCTCGAGGTCTCCACGGTCTCTTGCCCAGCTTCCCGATCGAGAGTAGTTGTCATGCAGGCTAGCCGCAAGCAGCAGTTCAGCGACAGATACTGTGCAACGATAGGGGCGTTTCTAGCCGCTGGCAGAATCGCTCCATCTCGGTCCGACCGTTTGTTGGTTAGTCAATGGGTTGATTTGGTTGATTTTTGATCGATCTGGAGAGTGCAAGTGGCTACCTACCTTGCATGGGGAAGTTACGAGTAGGTCTTGGCAAAGTGCAAGGATGGCTGGCTAGCGCCAGAATCTCATCTCAGGGTCTTCGTCAATTTATTACTTTACAGTAGAAAGCAGAGGGTACCTAGAGTCAACGCGAAGGTCAATTACGATCGTTGTTTAAGGCCGAATACAACATGTGACTGTGTGTTCACATTTTGGTGAGATTATGCCTCTGCCTGTACGTTTTGCCATGCCTGAGTCGAGCCCTTCTTTGCCGACATGATCATTGTCCCAACTCTCTGTCTCTGTGCCAGTGCGCTTGCTGGCAATGTAATCGAAGCCTTCATCCGCTGCGCTGCGGCCGCGAGATGTGTGACTTTGCCGTTACATTCCTCGTCATCCGTCATGTCCTCGTCATCACTATGGAGGGGATGGAGAGGCAGGCTGAGGGGCGCGGCAAACATCAATTAATACTCTGTTGGCTCTCTTCCGGCACTCATCACTATACTGACGATGTTCACCTTCCCCGCAGAGCACCAGACTATGTCCATGACCACCGTCCCTAATGACTCGTTCGTCTTCGCGCTCGGACTGTTAACTTCCATTCTGGAGTTGCTTGTGAGCTAGAATGGAAGCCACATCAGCATGTTGCTCGCATACATGTCCTTTTGAGGCAGACGTCAAGCCATGGATTCCGAGTATTAGCGCCCGTGTGCTCATACACGTTTGGGCCTCTGGGGTTGCTTTCTCATACCATAACTCGGAGACCTCGAAGCAAGTGATCTGTCAACAAGCATTAGCGTTTCTAGAATTTTTCAAACACCCCGATCCGAGATGTCTTTTGCCTACCTGTTCTAGCAAGATTCTGCGCTTTGGGTCGGGTTTGCCGTAGGCTCGCCTGACCTGGACTTCAAAGTAGAAGTTGATATCGTCCCTGTCCAGCTCTTGATACCACCGAGTCGAAGGATCGAAATGGCGTTCGAACATTTGCTCAGTATACTCCAGAAATGCAACATTCAAGTTTTCGAAACGCCATTACAATAACTCTTTTGAGTAGATGACGGGCTATATATCACTCTCGATTGGGTCTTGGCAGCAGTGGTAAGACTTATTGTCAGACTTGAGTGAAGGTGTTTGAAGGGGAGCACTGGAACGTTGATCGGCCATGGTAACGGTTGCTGGAAAGGGGTTACTCGACCTTCACTGTCTTAATGTGGCAACTAGAGCTTTGTGTTGAAAGGATTCACGAGAGGTAGTGAATACTCCGCTTATGTCACTTGAATGGAATGATTCACCCACCCACAATACTAATTTCCAAGCTCATTTCTATGCGTCACTGTTTGAGTCAGCATTCATCTCCCAGATCGCTGTGAATTCTCTTGTCACTTGAGGGTATATAAACCCCCAAGTTCTGACCTCCACCCTCCCTTCTTTCCTTCCTCATACTCTGCAGCAGATCCATCGAGTATGATCTATAATAGTACTTCTGGTACAGATTCTGTTTGATATATATCATCGTTTTCTACCATTCTCTCCTATACAATATGACATGGCATGACACATAGACTCACACCCTGCCTCTTAAGATCTCTTACGCAGCGCCCTCCAATCGAAACCAATTCCCACCACTCCTTCGACACTTGCCTAACCCTAACCCCAAGGGTCTCGCGACGTCAAGAATCGCATCAATCGGCGCATTTCCAAGGAGTCCCCTCTAGGCAGGATGGTCCATGGCGGTAACTACAACAATAAGAAGACCGCATGCAAACACGAGGACGTTAACTACCTCGCTGCATACCAAGGCATGACCGACGAAGAGGTGAAGTCTCATATCATGCCACTGCTAGCACCCGGAGATGGAGCTTACGTCGACGTGCCCGTGCAAACGCAGACTCCTAGCGGACGCCATGGCAGCAGCTTCGCCGTCCGTGGTGCCCGTTTTTTTGCAACCTCCTCCGGCGAATTTTACAACATGCCACCTGCTGACCCCTTCGCCTGAGCTGGACGGATACTGGGCTGCATGCAGCCATTTGGCGGTGGGGAGGGTGTTGTGTGTTGGGTTGGTTCGGTGCTCTCTGCTGGCGGTCTCGTCTCTTTCGTGGTCCTCTTACCTCCGACCTACGACTACTGCACCGGCATCAACCCCATTTTTAAACCCCATTATTCCTCCGCCAGAAGCTTCAAAGCCTGAGGGTTTTCTTCTCGGGTGCCAGAATCTTTGTCGCTACATCGTCGAAGTCGAACGGAGACTTTCTGAGATGCATAATCTAGGCTCACCGCCTTCGCAAAAGAGGCTTCGAAAGAGATACAGAACATGACAGCAGGGGACACTGACCTGATGTGAAATGGCCATGCGACAGCACCAAACAGAATGGCTTCCAAATGGCTTCATACTTCATCGAAAATGCTTCGCTCTGTCACAAACGCCATAGACCTGCCCTACCAGCCACCGTGTCCCGGATATCTGACATTCGTTACTCCTGTTATTCACAATCCAATACATACATATATATTAGTCAAAACACACCCCTCCACAACACGAATCAGGCCCTTCCGCGCCATTCGAGACGTCGGATTTCAATGTAAGGAATTTGCCCGTGCAAACATGATGCTGCCAGTCGCGACATGGCTAACGAAAGGCACACCATGCAGGCCAGGAACCTCTATCGCGAAGACCGTGAGGTTTTTGCGAAGAACGAGGGCAAAGAGAAGCTGTACGTTGAAGAGGTCCTGAAGGATCGGAACTACAAGTTGCGGAAGGGTGTTGACGAAGGGGGTAAACGTGTTGGACGAGGTCTTCGCCGAGACAGATCTGAGAGACGAGGCGTGGGGTTAGAGGGTATGTACAGGCACTCCGTCATGAAACTTCGGATTTAACGCACACGAATAGTGATGACCCAACGCGCATCTTTCAGCTTGAGCAAGTATGTTACTGATCCCTAAAGGTACCCGAAAATGCTCTAAATGTCCGCACTTTAGGAGTTCATTGCCTTGTCAGGTACCCCAATGTCAAAATCACCAAAGGATATTGAGGGGGTACTAAGTGTCCTCTCCACTGGCTCTGAGGATTTGTGGAAAGAAGAAACACCCTGGAAATTCGGATTGAAGGATGAATTCGGTCATACTATAAGCGCATACACAGCAGAGCAGAAAGGGACCTGCGACAAGGAGAGATTTGAAAAGCACCAGAACCAGCTCACTCCGCTATGCGAAGTGACCATGCTGAGACGCACCGAGACATCCCAATTACGAACCAACCCAATGCTTCATCTACCGCCAATCGACCCCCGACATGTCCCCATTGACTTTCCTTCTCAATATGTTAACGACCTCGAAAACATTGAGAAAGGCATTGCCAAATGGGAAAAGGAAGCAACTACAGAAGGTCACAATGTGAGAAAAAGCGACTTCTGGCTAAACTCAACGAAAGCAAGAGCAACCGGATGCTATCCGGCTTTGGGTCCCATCGCACTGTCGGGTGTTGCTAAGTTGACTTGGGGAGATTATATATAAAAATGGGTGGATGAATCAGTGGAGAAAACCGTCCTCGATATCCGAGAACCCATACTATAAGGACTTTGCGGAGATCCTGAGGAACAGCCCTTGCCTTGACTTCATTGTAAGCATTGTGCAGGAGCTTGGAGATATGTGGTACAAAGGGGCAGCAGATCTTGCGAGACGGTTATGCCCTGCAGTCCAGCAATTCTGGGAGCAACGAGTGGATGAGAAGGCCTGGAAAGAGAAACGGGAGTCGACGAGCATACACTGTTGGAGATGGAAAAGTCCTGGTCTAATATCACGCTTACTGTGATGGATACAAGTCGCCCGCTCGAATGTCTTGCATATGCTTCCGAAAGATCTACCCGCTTTACCAAACGAGACCAGGACAAACACATTGTCTTTCTCGACGATGTGATCGCTGTTCAAAGCCAGCTCGAATACACCAGCTTAAACATTTCACATCTTATGGACCATTACCGACTTATTCGGCCACAATATCACGAGCACAACTCAAGTGCTGCGAGAGCTCTTGAGGTACTGGTGCAAGAAGCAAAGCGTATTCTACCGGTCGCACCGTAACCTTTCAGAGGCGGAGCACAAAACAAACAAATGGGCTGTAGTAATGACAACCGCCGTCACTGGAGACATTATTGTCCCAGATGTTCGCCTGCTACCTCTCCACCGAATCTCCTACCCTGAGACCGCGAGGAAGGTGCTAGCCGCAAACCCCAAAAAGAAGCTCCAGAAACACGAAATGGAGGACCTGTGGGACGGCATTATGTACCACGTCTTCGACTTTGAAGTTACGCTCTGGAAGCAAAAGAAAAACGAGGTAGTGTGTCTTGTTGGCGATAAACCATCACAAATCGCTGACCATTGGTTGTGACTACAGCTTCTGTCGGAGACCGAGTACCGCAAACTTCAAGCGGGGGCGAAGACCTCGAGAAAGCGTAAGCGTGGGGAGATCAGTGAGGCATCTGGAGATTCTGACGTCGAGGTCCAACCAGCGGCAACCAAGGTACCTACACCCTAACAAATCTCCTAGACACGCAGGGCTTGCGATGCTAACTATAATCTCGTACAAAGGCAGCTGCCCAGCCATTGCATCCACTATCTGGAGAGGTGACGAGTGCGACCAGCCAAGGCGCGGTGACCCACCATGACACTGTTGGACCACCTCCCGCCAGACCAGTTGCTCGACCCATCAATACACCTCAATCGAAGAGCTCGAGGCAGTGGGCGCCTGGTGCCATACCTAAAACTACACCGGCCTCAGGAGAAAGAGCCTTATTACAGGCGGACAACGAGCCATTGCTGGCGGGATCTGGGGTGGGCACACGCGTGGTTACTGAAAACACGGCAGCACCACCTCGTGTGCAACCTTTCTATCGGGCCCCAGCCAGAGCTCCTATGATAGGCTCGAACCAGATTTCACAACCTCCTGCGGTGCAAGTCAATCCGAGTCCAGCCAGAGGCAGAGGCCGTAAGAGAAGGGCAGGCAGCGGACACCGGCAGTCGGTAGTCGGGCAGAGGAGCCGTGTGGATAGTGAGGCTACGTTGATACCAATTCCAACGCGATTACCCAGACCGCCCACAGCTACGGCTTCTACGATAGGCGCGACGCGGAGAAGGTCCCCTCCTCCAGAAAGGATCCACAATCCTTCGGCAGAAACTTTGCAGCAGTGGAGGGCACAACGTATAGCGGACGTTGGACCAGCAAAATTCAACGAGGAGTACAATGCTGGGATGTACAGGACTTGGCGGGGGTACTCATACCGACATTGAGATGCTGTTTCAGCTTGGGATGGTCGGAAGCAGAGGTCGACAGTTCGAATCGGAACATTTTTCTTTTCTTTTTTGTTTCTTTTTTGCTTTTACTCGTGCCCACTGGTTTTTCAAGAGTCTGATGTAGACACGATATTATCACTATACGCGGGTTTACTATGACAGGGGATTAGCTTTGGCAGTTATACGCTGAAAAGCTTCCACTTATTTCCTTACAGTGAAATCATCTGCATGTCGCCTCCGACCGCACAACACGTCTCAAGAGCTTGTTCTAATCTTCCGATTTGCTTGATGTGCATCATCCTTTCCACAAAGTGAAACCCAGCGGCCCCGGCATTTCTCGCGCATTCTCAACACAACATAGACACATATCTTCGGGCAACCAACCTCTCCAAAACAACAAAATTACAGCTATATCCCTTCGCTCGATTCTTGCCCAGCTCCAGATAAGGCTACGAACATGGCTCTGAAGAACGCTCCGAAGCCGAAGGCAACATTCCTGATTGGTGTCCAATACACCCCTGACCATTTTGAGCGGATGGGCCACACGCTGCTCGACTTCACGAAGACAATGGTGGGAAAAAATGACAATAAGAACATCCCAGTTACCCGTCAAGAAGTCAATAGTCACTGGGACATGGAGGTGCACAATAACCTCCCTCGGGATCACCCGATGCGTGCTCGTTTACACGAGCAGAAGACATCACCAATGGTCGAGGAGTTCTGGGAGAGGCGGGCAGATGAGGGCGCGTTCATGGCAAAACACGATAAGCAAAGCCAGACAGGCTTTCATATTATCAAACCCGCGCGTACCTCCACGGAACGCAACGAACACAAATACGCAGTGATCATGACACACGAAGAGCACGTCTATGTTATTTTCCCCGACATCAAGGCTCTACCTCTCCGTAAGCTCTCTTACCTCGACCTAGTGCCCAAGATCTTGGCCGCAAATCTAACCAAGGATCTGACGACAAAGAGAGGCATATGGGCTGTTCTCCTGAATAGATGGCCAGTCACCATTAAGACTCCAGTATAAATATAGGGAAGGGACGATTGATGAGAGCCTGACATCCCCCAGTTGGCAGCCAGGTAACCCGCGCGTTTGGCACGGAAGGAAAGTCAGCGAAAGCACAGCTTTTGTATGCTGTGGGCAAAAAGGACGGAGATGTTAAAGTAGCGGAGTGGGTGGGATTTGCTGTGGAAGATTCTGAAGGAGAAGGGGAAGGGGAAGGACATCTTAGGGGAATCGCCAGAATATATAGACAGACACTTTGAAGGCAGGAGCCAGAGAGGTAGCTTTGTTAATCAAACATTCCACACTGCGATACTCAAATTTGGCATGAGAGCTGTTCAAAGATGGCTCAAACACTGACCACAAGCTTACACAATGTGAAGATCTAGCTAGGGAGGAAACATAGATCCTCAACTCGACAAGAGCGCGACACTTCGTATTCGCTGCTTAAACACTATTCTATTCCTTGTAGCCAATGAAGCCTCGCGTAGCAACGACCGTAAAGTCGTGAACAGGGAGAAAATGATGCAGCTGTCCTACATCCATTTCTGCCTATCAGGAAGGCGCCCTTCGAACAAGCGCAGCATACACCCAGATTTCTTGCGTAGACCGTGTCAAACTCTTCATCCCCAATCACGGGTCCCCTGGACCATCTTCAATTGCTCAACCGGGCATGTTCCTGTAACCGGTCGTAAACTTCTGTTTTGCGCCCGTTCTCGGATCGTACGGCCAAGGAGGTATCCCGTTCCTCTGCAGCCTATAATCGCGATCGCTCAACCCGTACTCGGCGGTACTTCCCGTCTTTTCGCCTGTTCTCGGATCATATGGCCAAGGAGAAATTCCCCTGCTGAGCAACCCCGCTTCATGACTGCTCAATTGGTACATGTCGGAGGCTTGAGGGGTGGTAGGAGGCCGGGCTGCATGACGGGAGGAGGACTGTGCGGAATCCGAGCCCGTCGTAGGAGCTCTTGCCGGCGCCGCATTCGCTGGTCGCGTAGGAGGCGGTATCGGGGTAGCTGAGTTACTCACTCGCGTGCTCGGTCCGAGTATCGACTGTAAGGGGACGGTGCTGGGTCTAGGAGCTGTGTCCCTGACGGGAGCCCGGTTGGCGGATGCCGCAAGCGCAATGCCAGCCGTTCTCCGACCTGATCCCTCGGCTTGGGAGACTATCGTTGGTATGAAGACCTGCGATTGTTGATAATTAGTTCTTTGCAATTTGGCGACCGTGAAAAGAGCGGGCAATTTACCTCTGTCGTCGAGGACGGCACATCCAGGCTACCTGAACCTTTACCAGCTTTGTAGGTCTTTGCTGGTTTCTTGGCCTGCAATCATTAGTCTTTGAATATACTTCTAGCCTCGTGACTTTCCAATAACATAGGTGACTTGCTTTTGTTGTTGTTGATGGCACATCTGAGTTACCTGAAGCCCCTGGAGCTTTGGAAGCCTTTGCATTTCCTTTAACCTACTGTTATCAGCCTCCGGACCTCTCTAGTATTGTTGACATGGCAAAGAACAGGTGGTTTACCTTTGTCGTCGATGATGTAGCATTTGAGCTGCCTGAAGTTTCTGGAGCTTTGGCAGCTTTTGCTGATGATTTGGCTTGCTAATATTGGGTTAGATCTTCGAATTGTATTTCCTCGGCATGCTGTAGGTATCATACCTTTGTCTTGGCCAATGGAGCGTCTGAATCATCTGAGTCTTCCTCGACCTGCGAATGCTTGCGCTTTTTCGATTGCGCAGTATCTGAAACAATGTCGATGTATTCATGGTAGCTCGCAGTCCTGCCCTGCAACAAGTGTGAGCATGTGGTTGGTAATTTTAGTCAGAGGACAGCTAGGTGAGAACCTACCTCATGCTTCTTGTCTTCTCGCCAATCATACTCGTAGTCGTATACTTTCGTGAGAATTGCATCCCACAGATCGTATAACACAAAAAGGTCAAGAGTCTTGGTGGGATTTGCGGCCAAGATCTTGCGCACTAGATGAAGAAATGAGACCCTGTGCAGGGGTCGAAGCACAATGTCAGGCACAATAACGTCCCCGTGGACGGCATGTGTCAGTATGACGGCGAACGGGTGCTCTTTGCGCTCATGATTCGTGAGGTTACGGTCGATATGATGAAATCCAGATTCCATCTGCTTCGCCCGCTTCAGCCTAAAGGCCTCCTCGTCTGCCCGCTTTTCCCAGAGTTTTTCGACCAGCGGACAGGACATCTACCGTACCATAGGCCATCAGAGTGCTACTTCCTTACATGAATGTCGTTCAGTGGATCATCAACATACCTGCTCGAGCAGAAAAATGCGCATAGGGTCATCACTACTAGGATAGGCTTGCATGACTCGCCCCGCCCAGTGAAAATTTACCTCTTGACGGGTTGGAGGTAGCCGTCGTGAGCTATTCGCGTTCAGTAAGTCAGACGTGAATCTGTAAATGTTGAAGCCAGGCTCGAGTTTTCCGCATTTGGGAATTACTATCTTGAGGTCGGACATGTTGTTAATGGAGCTTGAATTATTTGGAAATGATCTTGGAAGGATGCAGAGAGAGGTAAGAAACAGTGTGGGCAAGGTCTTGAGAAGGTTGTGAAATCGTGGTGTCAATGTTCTGTTGTGGCCGAAATTGTTTACCGCGCTCTACCCATCGCGAAGACACGAAGCCGTGCAAAGACGGTATTTGACGTCATCTACAACACCACCACCATTGATTTCCTCTAGATGCAGGGATACAAGCCGTAGATATTCTCCGATCAGGGTGTATCCTCCCTCGCAAATACCACAGTGGCAGCTTTTCCAGCTGGCGAAACGAACGAGCAATGACCATTACTGATCGCTTGTTTCGCCAATTGGGGCTTCGACCCAGCAACTTGACATGAACCAGCTCACTATATGATCCAACTTTGCCATTGCACTCAAATGTAAATTGTAAAATGTGGGCATTCCGAATTGCTCGAGCTGGGCGATCTTGTTCCACCCTGCACATTTCTAGTAATCCTCTGGAGTAGGGTCGAGTTGTTTCATTGCTAGACATTGGAGCTCTGCGAATTGAGCTAATCAAAACAATTATCCTTTTTCACTGTGGCTGTCAACTGTGGTTCTCTCCCATTGGAAGTCCTGCTCAATTCTGTCGTGCGCAAAAGGCCACGATGTCAGCATAGCGGAAATCGGACTCTGGGAAATTTCGTGGTCCTTTTGACTTTTGCTAGACACACTGAATTCTAATAGTAGCTTCTGCTGTCACTTGGGAGAAAAAGACAGAAGGGCAGAAAATGCTTTAAAAAAAAGGACAAAACAAACAAAGTCCTCCCAATGCTCGAACCATTGACCTCGCTCGGCTTGGCGGAAAAAAAGTGGCCGATCAGAGAGTAACCACAGTGAACCACTTCAGTGTTAACCTAAGCCGGCCTCAGCTGTCCGAACGGATCTGAGAAGTGAACCGCTTCGGAATTACCCTAAGCCTGTCTCAGTCTTCACAATATCATTGTTCGCTTAAACTTTCAATTATTTATCACTTAAGCTAAAACTCCCATGATCGGTGAGTGGTCCCCACTAAAATTATATATATATATAATAATGTCGTCATAACAAACCAATAATGCATCATAGAAATGGCAACAATTAGAAATAAAAAGCACCGCAACACCATTGTACCAGCGCCATTAGGAATCGAACCTAATACGAACTAAATACCTCCAACCACACAATTAGAACACGAACATTCCAACTTCTGTCAGTCATCAACTTACTCTTTTGAAGTCTTCCTTGGTTCACAGGCCATCTTCCAGTTAGATCTCGATCCCTGACGTTATGGCGGCTAAGGCTGAGTTGCACCGACTTTGTTGGATGGGCCAAGTCCCGTACAGCACACTCCACTTACAATAATCTCACCTTCAACGACTATTCAAGCAGGAACCACACCCTTGCTTCGTTTTGATCACAATCAAACCTGCTAGAACAGAACAATTTGCCGCACAGCTTCACCATGGCGGATCTCTTAGACACCACTAGGCGTGTTTCTCCACCGGACCCGCTCGACCCTGACGCCGTCTGAATCGAGATCGGCAAGCACAGCAAGTTTCTTGCGCCTGAACGCACCAAACATCTCATCGAAATTCTTCAGCTTAGACTTCTCGACATCAAGAAAGCCATCGTCAAGGCCAACGAACACAAAGGAACCAAGGAAGGAAGATATACTACATCGGCTGGCATTTTCAAATTCAAAATACCGAGGGTACGGGTCTTATGGATACAAAATACCTCTAGGAACACTCCCTGATTGACTAAGTGATTGTAGCTGCCACAAGAGAGATGGAGACATGCACATCGGCCGACATCTCCCCTCCCTAGGAAATCCGGCAGTCTGTAACTATTCGTATCAATGGGCAAGCACAAAGGAACGTAGGCTTATGTACCTGCATGCGGGTCGCTCGTGAGTACTATCTAAGCGTATTGAGAAAAGCTTGCCGCTCATTGATCTTTCCAGGGTAGAGTTGAAGCGCTGACACAATTGACCGAGCCTGCAGCTAGCAGCCGAAAGCTACTACGACGGATCAGAAACGAATCAGAAAGGATTTTCGGGCTGCAAAGCGTAGGGTACAATTATGAATCGGCTGTTAGAAGATGGGATCCCCAACGTCTGTTCACAGACGTCGTTGTAAAAAGCTTTTACTAAAGCGTCCTTCATTGAACGTCCTACACATAAGAAAATTCGGACGACATATCTGCGCTCAGCTTGCCTCTATCTAAGGGTCATCCAGCCAAGAATGTAGCAATCTGTCTCAACGTACAGGGATAGTCACAAGTTTAGTAACTGTCTATCCTATGCAAAAGGCAGAATCTCCAGCCCAAGCCCCTGCTATCCATCGAAATATTCGTTCTCAAATGTAAGGTGTAGATCCTTCTTTTCCAATCACGACAAAACAGCACCAGCTTGAGCCATCGGTGGCAGGAATCTACTGTGCCCCCATCCGCTGACCTGGCTCTCCATTGCTGTCGTGCATCTGATCGTCGTTGCTAAGATCTTGGGGGACAA